TCCGTGAAGATGCTCTCTCACAAAGAAAGGACTAGTAGATTCTTGTAGGCTCTTCCCGTCATCAAGTCTGTAGCGAGTGTGTGCGCAACGGCCCCTGTTGGATCTTGAATGGCCTGTCGTGGAATTGAACGCAAAAAATTCAGCTACAAAGCCGCTTAGATTCGCTAAGTTCCCTGCAATGCTCGGCCTTGTGTTAGCTCTGCAGGGTTTGATCCTCGTGCGAGCGTCATTTGCTTGGTCAGTGCTTGCGTGTGCTTATCTTTAATAATTAGTGTATTCCCTGTAGTTCTTCCGTTATGGTGCCAAAGAATGGTTCTCGATATCACTGAAAATGATCGTACGTTGAGACCAATTCAATTAATATTAATTGGTATTTGGTAAGTATCGTTTTGAAGTCGTACTTTATAGATTATTCTTCTGTAATTTGTTCCAATATTTTAATATTATTTGTAACCATATATTTTATAATACCTTTTCAATTAAAATTTAATGTGTGCTTAAAAACTAAACGGTTTTTAAAATCCAAAAGTAGTGCACGTTTGATGTATAATTCCACTGTTGTAAATTAATACGCAACATGTTCATAATAACTTAGGTACGGTATTCGAGTACCTAGTACCTACCTATACAAATTGCAGAATTGCATATCACAATTTTCCGCTTGTTTTCAGTTAGTTTCTTATGCGTATGTAAAAGGCAACTTATGTTAAAAAGGCAACTTAGACTCGTCAAGTGCCCGGTGCTGGACATAAGTAAGGTTGCAGCTGTACCAGAAAATTATGGCAGCATGATTAACATGTACCGTGTTGCGCGTTGTGCTCTGCATCCTCTGCGTGTATCGCTTTGCCGCACCTGCCCAGGTATTACCAAGCCTTTGTTGGTCTGTGCCCGCAAGTTCCTGGCTTAGATTGAAACTTGCGGTATCCGTTCAGTTGTGACTTGTCGGGCATTATATTTAAATTCCACTTTTATTATATCTTAACGTTGTTTCCTGTGATTATTTTTTTGTTTTTATTCTAACTGTGTTTAATTTTGTATCGTGCATTAGCTACTTTAACTTTACCCACGCTTCTTTGGTGTCAAAAATTGCGATGTCGTAAATGTGTTTTCTCATTTCAGTTAATACTTAGTTATATTCAGTTTATTTAATTTTGTTAATATGCGGTGGTTCGAATCTAAATTCACTGAAACTATATCATGTGTAGACAGAGCTTCATTATGTTTAGAGTGTCTCGAATTTCCCAACCAAATTATCGCTCAGTGTCAGTGTTACTATTCCGTGCGTGCAGGTATCCATCGCTTATAATGTGAGTGTTATGGCTTTCATCAGGGCCACTAAGAATCAATTAGAGCGATCATCGCCGTCAGTGCTAGAGACGTTTATTATGGGCCTGCAACACCAGGCATCCTCCCTCTCTGTCTTGCTCTATGCCTGGCCGGCAATTTCGTTAACAGCTCGCTAGACAGTTTTGTTCGAGTAATTTCCTGCGTGATGATCGCTTCATGATAGCCTGATGGATACGACGCGCTCTCGTCTTGACGTTCCGTCGCGGCTTTTTACTGTCGTCTCTTCAGCTCGCGAGTTTAGTCGTTGCCACCTTGCTGGCGTTCACGTAATCTTTATACTTCACATTTTCTAAAAGTTTTCCCGCGTAGAAATAAATGAGGCTACAATTTTTAGTAGTTTTTTTAATTATGTGAGTTTACAGCAGTCTCCGAGGTTCTAAAATATCAAGCATTTCTCAACCATTTTTTGCTGAAATACTACCACTAGAGGATCGTTTAAAGTCGCCACATACTACCAACTATTACCGCATGTATGTCAATAGTAGTTGGTTTTAGCAGCATTTGGCAAATGTTCCGCTTGAGGAAATCATGTTAAGATTCCAATATTATTTTATTTTAAAATAAAGAACTGAACGTTTTCCTCTCCTTCACGCCACTAGTGGTACGCTTACGAGTTGGGAACCACTGGACTGCCACTGACTTCCAAGGCCACTAGTCAAGACGATCTGATTCGTCCGTTAAATTTCTTTGTTAACCCGCCAAAGTTTGCTTAATAGCTGAATGGTTGGGATGTGCCCACAGAAGGGTTCCGGTGCAGCCCTATTTAATTGGTGTGCTCGCTTCCAATGAGCCATGTCTTTTTTTCACTTCCGGCGGCGCCATTGTTGTTGTTGTTGTAGTAGTAGTTGTGTGTGTCGCTGAGGATTGTGTTGTGTGTGAGCGGTAATCGGGAGCCCCGGGAGCGGAGTGGAGCAGCTACTGCTCGCTGATTGTGGTCGTTACACGGGTGCGCCTATTATCATCTCTCTGTAATTTGGTGCTTCTCAAGTGGTGGCTTCCGTCTAACTCGAGAGAGCAGCTTCTGAGGTCACCTGTGACCAGCCCGTATTTTTCAGAGATAATTCGAGAAATTATCCGTGAAGAATGATAATGTGAAATTACTGCTTGATGATCGGAACGTCAAAGAAAATTACTGATGAAAACCAAGGAAATCTCGGTGTGATTATTTTGTTACGTGGCATGCATTGCAAACTGAAAAGGGATGTTACTAGCTGCTGGGTTTTCTGACATACATGATTGTATTGTCAATTAAATTGCGAGAAAAATTTTTGGCGGTGATTCATGTGCGAACCAATTTCAGAAATCATCGATAATGAGATCGGAATTTTTGACAGCTATTAAGCACTTCACTACAACCCATCAATACATATCTGGATACTTCGTAGTATCGCTTTATCAAATATGCGAATTTCATCACAAAACTTTGAAAGTTAACTGTCATAACTGATGAAATATTCTCGCTAATTTTAATTTATGGTTAGACAATTTGTGTTCGTGTTAACATGATTTTTAGGCAGCTCAATAAGGAGCGAGAAAACGTGGATGTATAAGTGAGCTGTCAGGCAGTGAATCTTTGATGGCAGCTTTAGGCTGCTTGAATGGTCTCTTCTTTGTGGAGGGTTTCTTTGATGACCTTCCTTCTAACTGCCTTACTCTCAGGTACCTGAGATCCGCTGAGATTCCCTTGTACCTGAGATCCGCTTAATTGAAAATACACACTTTTGTCTTACATTGTTGTACACTTTAACTGCTCTCTATTGTAGTATGCATGAAACCTCGGTAAGAAGTCACACTCGCACATGTTCATTGAGGTAAACTACTACTGCTGTACTTAATTCCTGCCGTTTTGAGTATTACTAATTAGGGTGTGTTAAGATAATTAGGTTTTTCTTCTTTCATTGTAGCTATTTTCACATGAAATGATTGCGTGAAGAAAAATCGTGAATCATTTGTTAGATTGAATAATTTCCTAATAAAAATCTGAGATTGCTGCATTGTTAAAGAATTGAAATGAAATCTATTTGCCATATATTTTCAGAAATATTCTTGACATCTCTGCAGTGCATATGTAACCTTAATTTGGCCGGTCGCAGTTTATTCATCCTACTCTATTCTAAGTCACACTGCAGCGGATTTTGACATGATTTGTCTACCGTATCTTTTTCTCTTATTTGTAAAGCTGCATTCAATATCTTGATGAACGTGCAATTTTTTCAGTTTTCTAGCAGCGAAGCCGAAAAATGTTATTGAAGCCATGACGGTAAAAGAATCAAAAGCAAAACCCTTTAAGAAGTTCCGCAATAGCACGCTATAGTAATTGCGTGCACGATGAGGGCATTTGACTTGATTAACTTGGTTTGATTGCAGCTGCTGTCGTGATCCATTGCCAAGTTTGTTGTGAGGCCCTGTAATAGCGCGCCCAGCTGCCTCCAGTCCAAACTTCTGGCAGAGAAAAAAGTTCTTGCGGTTTGACTGCCAGGTCTGTCTTCGTAAATGGTAAACGACTTGGCTAACTCAGATGAAGATGAATGAGCCATGAAAGAAATTAGCGTTCCATTTCAAAGACTGCATTCATGATTTTAGGCTGTGGACAATTTATGGTCGTCGTCTGCGTGTGCGGGCTTTGATTTCGTCTAAACGTGTCATGTTTGAGCCAAACCTTTCGGCATGAAACGAACAAAATCTTCCTCGTAATTCGAACGAAAGAACATTTCTGGCTATGGTAAAATGTTTAAAACTTATATTGCATAATAAACTGAATGTATTATTGTAATGTGTGGCAATTGTATATGATATCAGTAACTTTTGTCTATGTTGAATAATGAATATTTTCAACGACGTTTCAAGCATATTTTTTCTTATTGCAGGTGTGTAGTGGCTGCTCGTCGCTAGCAGGCTCCTGGGTGTTGGCGAGGGGTAAAGTGACTTTTTATTTCAACTCATAAATATGCAAGTTTACTTGAATCTTCATTTGAATTTTTCTATAATGAAATCTTGAAGAAACTCCATAGCCATTTTTTACTGCAACCGGTAACGGGCACAAATTGAAGAAACGTTCATTTTTAATTTTAATTGTATTGCAGTTTGATCAGAATTAGTGTCGAGAATGTCACCATTAGTGTGCGGCATAATTAGCATGAGTTTGTGCTCAAGTTCAGATAAATAAAATATTTTGCTTCAAGTGAGGATAAGTGCAATATATAACCAAGACTCACTTATTTATTTATATAAAAGCAAGCGTCTACGTTCAACGTGCCTAAACCGCTTGTTGATTACTCTTGTCGATGCTTACCTGTTTTATCTTTAACATAATTATGCACATGTCGGGGACCCGGTTTTGCTTCAGTATCACGTCTCTAATTGACATCTCTAGCGATTGTACCCAAATGGGCAAGCTGCGTTTCTATGTAATATTTAGCCTAGATTTCATAGTCAAGCTCATGGCTGCTGGTTCCAAATACGCTTAAGTGGTAAATTGTAAGACTATTGATCGTGTAAGTTTTACTTCTCTTGGCATAAACAGTAATCTAAGTTTTTGAAGCATTGAGAAAGATTTACGGTCTTACGTGAAGATTTTCAATGAAATATCTCCTGCTTACTCAAGCGTTTGCTACCTTTCAAAATGCCCTATGCATCATAGCAGTTTTGCACCGTCAGCAAGTTCGTTGTAGCGTGTATACAGCAATAGAAATCTGACCAGTTCCAGTGGCAGGAGGATAATCAGTTTCAGTGGCAGTAGGATAATCAGTTTCGGTGGCAGGAGAATAATCAGTTTCAGTGGCAGGAGGATGAGCAGTCTCAGTGGCAGGAGGATGAGCAGTCTCAGTAGCAGGAGGGTGAGCAGTCTCAGTGGCAGGAGGATGAGCAGTTTCAGTGGCAGGAGGATGAGCAGTTTCAGTGGCAGGAGGATGAGCAGTTTCAGTGGCAGGAGGATGAGCAGGCTCAGTGGCCGGAGGATAATCAGTTTCAATGGCAGGAGGATAATCAGTTTCAATGGCAGGAGGATAACCGGGAGCATTGACGCGGAATGCTGCCATCTCCGCGTGAAGCTAAAGATTATCTTGCGCCCAGGTTCCATCTTCCTCACTTGCTCCATGAGTCTCATGGGGTTGTCCGATTGTCTCCTCTCTCCTCTTCGTTTAGAAGAGAAGTTAGTTTTATTTTGGATAGTTAATGGTAGCTCTTGGCTACGGTGGCTACGCAAAACTTTCTCCATTCACCGTGTCTTTTAGAATTGCTAATTTGTCCCAGTTGGTGCAGTTCTCGCAACGAATAGCTCCCAATGGCTTTCCTTGCATCGTGTTTACAGAATTACAGGAAAGAACGCTCGTGTTTATTGAAGCGCTTGCACTGCTAAGCAATGCTTTACATTAAGCCATTAGGGCGGTGCTTGTGTGTAAGCTGAGCTCGTTATTGTATTGTGGAGTGAACTGTGGCACACATACACACGCTGGCCGCAGCAGAGCGCGAGGTTCCTTTTACATTATTCATGACATGGGCCGTACAAAAGACACCGACGTTGTGCTCCTGCTATACGTACACTGCCGAGCACCTCTTCCAGGCTAGGGCATATTAGGTCCTGTAAAATCGCTCTCATGGCAGGAGTCTAGAAGTCTTACCTTGTAATGCGAATAGTGCTCAAACTTTTGCTACCTATACTTCGAATTTCTCATTTTGCTGCACTCCGGCTGAAACTTTTTCATGTGCTAATTTTTTGTTCATTGGTTTTCATGCCGGCTGAAACTACCAATGACTGGCTGCCATGGCTATTTTCCATGACTGGTTTCCATGCCGACTGAAACTACAATATACGGTTGTTTCTACAGTGAATTTCGCTGTCTCAATTAATCGCGCTGCGCCTGACAGGATCAATTCTTGTCAGGTACAGGAGTCGGCACCTGACCTTTGTGCGTCGTAGCTAAAGATTTAGTCACATTTATATCTAAATTTTCCTCCTTTGAGAGCTGGCGTGCATCATGGCTTAAGTTATCTCGCTTTGCACATGTGTTGCTGTTAATGACGAGAGTTATCGGTGTTGTTTCGGTTATTTCCATAGCAAACCAACCATTCTCATTGTTCATGTGACGCGTGGCTATACGAATACTGGAAATTTTCTCATAATAATTGTTCTGTCTCCCTCATCTCCCTCAATCATGTTCCGTTCTTTAATTATGTTCAGGATGATCATCACCCTTAGATTCAATAAATGCAGAGGTGAATAAATTTGTGTTTTCTCGATTCCTAATTCAACTCTCAGAAGAAGAGCAAAGTCAAAGGATTCCTGATGACATTATCGTTCTACGTACCTACTCTATTTGCAGTGGCTCTCATCTTATTGCGGTCTGTAAAAGAAGCTTTCGTATGCAAATAGCAATCATTTTGATTATTTTAACTGTATGCGGGTCCATAGCTCGGCTGAAGTGCTTTGTTCTATAGACTTTCCCGATGTTATTGGCCCACTATCCCGAGTTTCAGTAGATGGTTTAAGGACGTGACTGCAGGTAATGGGAATACGCATGGCAATGGGACCAAATGCCAGTAAATCGTGGCAAGCCATTTATAAACTTTAAAAACGCAGCGAGTGCCCCCGGCAGGCATTTGCTTTTATGTTTATTTGATCAGATGTATGCAGAGAAAATTCCTCGCCTTTCTACCCACGCATCCTCTTGGAATGGTTCGTGTTTGATGGAATTGCTATTGATGAGACACTCCTCCTTAATTATGGGTGGAAAAAAACTCTCTTGAATAATACAAATGCTGGTAGTTGTAGTATTTTTGCTCGCTCGGCCATTGTAAGTTCTGTATAATTGGCTCTACAAGCCATTCTGTGCACGTAAGTCTTGAGCGCCTCCACCTGCCCAAAGATCGGACGCGCTTTATCTGTGAACATGAAAGCCGGTCCCTTTTCCTTCTTAATTAATTAATGTCCGCCGCGTCATCCTTTACAAAATTTGTCGAAAAAGTATCTGATACGATATTTATTTCTTAGCTGTCAATTCCTTAAATCTGTGCTGTACCCATTTATAATTGTAAAAAGTTGCAAAGTTATTTACATAGTCATTTAAATTTTATTAGTGACTGCCGGTAGCTGATATTTCATGCCGGTAGCTGATATTTGACATGTCTACAATATTCAGGCAAGTTTCAGCTGAGCCGGATGAAAGTCTATTAGCTCTGTGGTGTTTATCGAGCCCCTGACTGGCGATGAGTTGTCGCGAGAAAACATGCGATGAATCGGCCGTTGTTGAAGCATGTTTCGCGCAGGAACCTGTAGGGGCAGGCAGCTATTGAAGCGTGTCGGCGCGCACAGCGAGCGCCGTCTAATCTATTATTGCCGGCCTATTGGATCGATAATGTCGTGGGCGACCGCATTAACCCGTCAAGGGGAGGCAAGCCAAGACTTACTGCTGCTTTGTGCGCCACTCCACATAAGCTTTCAATTTAGACCATTACTGCCGCCAGCTGCATGCATCACGCCTAAAATTGACTTATGTTCATTCCAATAGCAACTTATTACGAGCTGGAGTCGGTGTGTGATCTGCATGACTTTGTGGGGTGTGATTCGTTCAGCTGCTCGTGTGATTGGGTGTGATTCGTTCAGCGATGAATTTGTGGTGTAATACCTTACCGAAAGTTTATTATAAAATAATTTCCTATTACTTGTAGCGTGCAATCTTATCAGAAATGTCATGATGAGATAATTTATGCTTTAAGAATTACTAATTTCATTCATCAGTCATCGTTTAGGGTGTCTCGCTTGAATCAGTTGCAGAAGTTTGACGTAACGTGGTCGAATGCGAATATTTAATGTTTAATTTTGGCGTTTATAGTGGAAAAATCTGTAGGCTTGGTAAATCCTGGGAGAGTTATGGCTCAGTCGGCCGTGAGTGGCGGAGTGCAGTGCGTCTTAAGGTGGTGATTGAAAGCCGCGAGCTCTCAGGCAGGCTTGGCTGAATCCCTATGGGAATCTATCACTACGTATAGACATTATAACTCCGCTCGTAAATGAAATATCAATCTGAATTTTTTCATGCTCATTCAGCTATTTATTTACAATTTCCCGACAGTTACAAAATATATGTAAATGTTTTATAACATCAGTTATGATAGAGTAAAATAATAGAGTAAAATAGAGTAAAATACTTGCGAGAGATGCGACTTACCTAAATTTTTGAGACATGAGGAAGTAGTACTATTTATTCTCTTTTGATCGGTATTAAAGTCCTATTTGAATCACCCTCTATTTTGTAGAAATTAGCTAACAAAATACTTTTTCATCACTCCTGAACCGTAGATTTCCCATTTTCCTTGGGACCTGGCTCCGAGCATGTCAAAGTGTCGTACGTTGTCGTACAGTTTCCTTAGCGGTTATAAATTAGCTCGCGTGAAGTGGCCGAGTCGATCGTCGTCTACCCTCTTTCAAGGGGGTAGAGGGGCAGCCTCCTTACCCTCCTTACCCCCTTACCCTCCTGGCGCGTTTAAATTACAACCTTCCATTGTTCTTTCGTGTGCTAGAACGCTAGCGACAACATGCGTTTCTCTCACAAGAAATCGAAAAAATTGTGCCTTTCATCACCACGAATCAATAAAGGTCTCCAGTTGAAAAGATGGAGGTAAGATTTATTACAGTCGTTACTTATCATGGATATAACAAGATTTGAATCTCATCAGTCAGAGGTCTCTAAAATAGAAGTTGAAAGTTCCTTTATTCCCTATACAGTAGTAACCTTTAATAATGTCAATGGTGAATGCCATTGATTGCGATGAAGTACAGCCCATGTTTATACATAGCTTCAATGTTATATCGATGTTGTTTGCTCCGCAGAAAGCAACACAATATACTGAAGGTTCTACAAGCATCGGCTCCAGTCGAGAATGTCGTCAACAATACAACTACAATAGTGAATTTTACAAGCGATGAAGACGATTTGAGTGATTTAGTGACAGAAAAGACAGAGAAATCGAGCGTGCAGAACGCTGAGCCATCTCAAAGCAGTGAAGAGTCCAGCGTGCAAAATGCTGAGCCACCGAATAACAGTGAAGAGAACGCTGAGCCACCTAATAACAGTGAAGAGTCGAGCGTGCAGAACGCTGAGCCATGTAGTAGCAGTGAAGAGTCCAGCGTGCAAAATGCTAAACCACCTAATAGCAGTGAGGAATCGAGCGTGCAGAACGCTGAGTCACCCAGCAGCAGTGAAGAGTCGAGCGTGCAGAATGCTCAGCCGTGCAATAGCAGTGGCGTGCCTAACTATAACAGTGATATTCTACGAGTGTTCGAAAATGCATTACAACCATTAAGTGGTAGAAGGCTCTTCGATGTCAAAAATCTTTTTACTGATGTGTGTAAAATGGCGTTGCATAATACAAACATGTGTTCATTTTACAATTTCATTTTTGTAAGAGAGGTCCGACGAGGGCTTTACGCTACTTTTGAATTCAAATGTAGCATGTGCAAATTAAAAATGTGTGTCCGAACTGAAGCCCATGTTTATATATAGCTTCAATGTTATATCGATGTTGTTTGCTCCGCAGAAAGCAACAAAATCTCCTGAAGGTTCTACAAGCTTCGGCTCCAGTCGAAATTGTCGTCAACAATACAACTCCAATAGTGAATTTTACAAGCGATGAAGACGATTTGAGTGATTTAGTGATAGAAAAGTCAGAGAAATCGAGCGTGCAGAACGCTGAGCCATCTCATAGCAGTGAAGAGTCCAGCGTGCAAAATGCTGAGCCACCTAATAACAGTGAAGAGTCGAGCGTGCAGAACGCTGAGTTCTGCATAAAATTTACACACACATTCCTCATAAAATTTACACACACACCCATCCCCTCTAACAATCCCCACTGCTGTGCCACAACCTCCCTTTCTCTCCATCCCCCTGCTGCGNTAGCACGCATTCCTATACGGCATCGCGTCGGCCAGACGTAAGATAACCAGCCCTCACGCGGCTCGGCAGCAAACTCGAGCAACCTCGCTGTGGAGTTCGGGCGGCTTTGAATACAAACCTTAACAGTCGGCATATGCGAGGGCTGTAAACCTATCACCTTAACATCACCACGCAGCAAAGGGACTGCTAGTTGACCGCAAGGGATGCATATTAGTGGCCAGCATTACCCAATACCGTCATCGCTTTTCTAACCCTTTCCGTGCATAAGCATGCTACTAAGTAGAGTTGTCTATGGAGTTGGGGGTTAAAAGCCATGGGCACCGTAAGCCCGCAGCCATTGACCAATCCAGCCTGTATAATCTTCATGGAGGCTACACCCCAGCATGCGCTTACCTCCACTGTTACCCCGGCTTTCCACCCAAACAAACCTTTCCGGACCTAACCTAACCTCGTTGGCTGCAGCAAGGTGGAGGAGCGGGCAGTGGGGTTTACTACAGGTCACGTGGTTCACTGCAGGTCTCCACCACGCACCTGGTTCACCGTAGGTCCGCCCCAAGCACCAGGTTCACTGCAGGTCCCCACCACCACCTGCGTCACACGTCCCCACCACGCACCTGGTTCACACGTCCCCACCACGCACCTGGTTCACACGTCCCCACCACGCACCTGGTTCACACGTCCCCACCACTACGCACCTGGTTCACGGCAGGCGGCACCTTGGCCACAGCGAAGAGGCGCCGCAGTTGCGCGGTGCTGAAGTTCGACACGCCGATGCTCCGGGCGAGCCCCGCCTCGCGTACAGCCTCCATCTCCTGGCGACATTTCAATTCATACGTTTCCGATACCATACAACTATTATAAATGTTTCTAACATATTCATATTACCTTACCTATAATTATCGTTATAGTTCTGCCATTACAATCATAATACCATTTAATTATGATTATGGTAACTGCCTCGTTACATGTGCCTCGAATTATAACATAATTATATTGCTTTGAAGTCTGCATGTGGTACTCAAAACGTACCACCATCTTGAAAATATCACAAAATTAGTTGTAGAATTTGAAAAAAAATAATTGCCCAAACTTCTTCGTCTTCCTTCCATATTAACACCACGTCTTCTACACAACATTGTTTTCCTTCAATATCAATACAGCTCCGCCAGAACTTCGTCGTCACCCTTTAATACTAGCATAACGCCTGTCCACACTTCGTTGTCTTTTGTAAGGTGATATGTTAATACTATTTGTCCATGGATATTTCCTCATTGATGTCTTCCTTGTTGAAAGATAATCTCGTTCACTGCGATATGTTCATAAACATTTCCTTGTATTAGCCTTTCCTGTTTATCAAGTAACACCCTTGGTGACGTCAATAGCGAAGCTATATGAGCTCTTCCCAGATCCGGATACCTGAGTCTTTGGCCGAGAACAGTCGCGCGTAAGCCCAAATTCCTATCCATATTAAAGGATAGTAAGGTAAACTAGTCTGAACCTAGAACGAATGTGTTAACGCTCACCTCACTAGTACTCAAATCTATAACCTGTAAACCGATATACTCACTCTAATTATAAGTACTTTATCAATAAATAACTCGTGGCTCATTCATCTTCGTAATCACGGTCCCCGAACCAGCCTCAAGCGATAATTAAGTAAATAGAGCTGTGATGGTGCAGTGGTGAGAGACTCAGTCTCTCGCACCCAGCTACCGGGTTCAAGTCACACTGAGGACAAGTTCTTCCGGGAAGCTCAGCTCATGGTCAACTCAGCCATTCATCCAATTCTGGTTGATAAATGAGTACCTGGCTTGTCCAGGGTGTTGTGTAATGCAATCAAATGGTTCTGCGAGCTAGTGATGGTCCTATAGTTGATGGTCCAGTGGCTTTAAGTGCTCCAAAAAACTGACCTATCACCCCCTCTCCCTAGTCGCCACTACCAGCATGGGCAATTACAACAACAACATAATTAATTAAATCAAATACGCTTAAAGGTGCATAGAGAAGCACAGCGTACACTTCCTTTAATGCTAGCATAACGCCTGCCCACACTTCGTAGTCTTCCTTCACTGCTAACATAACGCCTGCCCACACTTCGTAATCTTCCTTCACTGCTAACATAACGCATGCCCACACTTCGTAATCTTCCTTCATTGCTAACATAACGCATGCCCACACTTCGTAATCTTCCTTCAATGGTAACTATACGCGTCCTACACAACGTCAGATACATATACAAGTAGATCAAAAGTTGAAATCGTACTTATTGAAATTCGAAGAACACATTTTAAATAACATTGAAGACCAAGTCACAATGAAGTCCATCAAGTAAAAGTATAGGCCAATTTGACTCTGAGTTTGGATTTTATACTTTTGAATATTTTGAATAGAAACTGGCACTTGGTGAGTAGAGGCTTACGTGCGTACGGTAGTTACGTAAATTCAAGGAAGTAGCTAGCAGTAGACTGGACAAACTAACTCATGCAGCCTAATTTATAGTAGACTTGATATTTCTCACGATATGGTACATACATGGAATAATCAACACTTGTCCATTAAATAAAGGTAATTAAGAACTTTGTCTTAAGAGGAAATTTTGAAATCAATTTTGTTGACCTTTTCACTGTGAACAAATTCAATCTAAAATTTGATTTGGCAATATGAATTATTTTATTCTTTAATCATCACTTGACCGAAATTGTGAAGTACATTTATGCCTAATTGTTTTATGTTTTCTGTTTCATGTCTAATAAATACCACACTCAAAAATCCTTTTTATAATTCAGATGAAATTTCAACTGAGAAATATATTCCAGAAAATTATTCAGTAAAGTTTGAGCGTCTATCCATTCTGGCTGACAAGGAGTCTTGGAATACTAAAATGATTTCCGAAACGGTCGTGGACAGTAAAATATAAAATCAATTTAAATAATTCGATTTACCTCATCAAGAGCTTCATAACGTGGAAGAAAACAGTGTATCAATGCATAATTCAATATATTGATTTGCATATTACTACATTACTGTAACGATAATGCTATAAAATATTAGAGAATTAAAAGAAGTACTATACTCCCAACTTAGTTCGTTTCAAAAGAAAGCCAATTCGTCGATCATAATAATCATAATCGAAGCCATAAATTGAAACACTCTTTGGAAGTCAGTGAATTCAGTCCATGCATGCGAACACATGACAAAATGGGTTATTATTATTCTCGATTGCCCACAACTACATACATGCAATAATAGTAACACGTTGACTCCGATTGTTTCATATTGTACTATTATTCCATTTTTGGTACTATTATGAAGCAAGGTTGCCAGCCGGTCTCTTTTTCCGGACAAATTCCGCGATTTAGTTTCTTTCAATTGCGTTGCCCGACTAAAACATATGGTAAGGGTACTTCCTAATTGAATGTAAATATAATAAAAGAAATTAATTTTCACACCGGAAACTACATATATACTAGTATACATCAAGTTATAGCCCTTTTTTGACCTTCTTTGTTCGCGCACATAGCCGTTTTTTAGGTCATCTGGCAACCCCGAATTATGCACCACTTCGTCCTGGAGAAATACATCTCGTGGTACGCATATGTACAACTTCAAAGTCAACGAGTTAGAAATGACAAAGATGCTATTGAAGCTCACCCTCCATATGGCGACGTGGTCGGTGGCGTAGTCTGTCAGCATGAAGCCGTCGGGCGTCCTGGGCTGCACCACGTCATCGCTCACGTACTGCACTCAACCGCACGGGTCGCGTTATATTTACAACAATCGCAAACACTTAAATAAATATAACCTTTATATAGTCGATTAATTTTTAGATTGGTGGTAGATTCAGACTGTACATGAGAGTGTTATCGCTCAAATCACAACTGTTGTAAGAGAACAATGTTGCGAGGATGTGTACGTAAAAAACTAAATGATAATTAAATATGGAAACGAGGTGATATTAACCGACTTGCCTGTAACGCCATCGGTACGTGGATGAGGTACAAGTCCACATAGTCGAGGCCGAGCTTGGCCAGGGATTTCCTCAAAAACTCTTCGACTCTTTCAGGCTGCATGGCAATGGCTGGCAGCTACGGAGTGAGACCCAATTCATTTAAATAATAACTCACTACATTATCGGTAAGAAACGCTTGTTAAACATTCTGCTATGTTGTTACAGAATTGCTTGTGGCTTATTAATAGACAAAGCACAGTTTACAAATATTTTATAATTAAATGTGCTATTCAGTTAGAAGAGGGAGTGTTGTTTGTGGCAGCGTGGCGAACGGACGTTCGGCGTCGCGCGCGGTCTCGCCGGTTCAACTGTGTTATTGCATTCTGTACTGAAGTGTTCCAGTGAATAGTCTGGAATTAAGTAAAAACAGTAAAAAATTGAGTGCAAGTAACAATTGATTGAAAAACTGACTACAGCCATTAAAAGTTGAGTGCGGGTAACGATTGATTGAGAAAAAATTGAGTACGCTTTAACTCTGTTGACTCATACTGTACTGAAGTGTTCCAGTAAATAGTCTGGAATTAAGTAAAGTCAGTAAAAAGTGAGTGAGTTACCAATTGATTGTCAAACATGGCAGCCAAAGTCTGTGTTAGTAAACCTGCCGGAGAATGCCTGGAATGTAACAAATGCAATTTTGGACAATTGGCACTAAGATGTAACACATGCAGACAATTTTGTCACTTCGAATGTTTACTACTTCCAGAATACCAACTTGCAAGATATTTAAAAACGAGAACATCATTCATGTGTAGAAAATGCGTTATGAACGAGGGGTGGGCGAAAGAAGCCATGGAGAGTGTGCAAACGGTTCAAGCGTCCGAGAGAAGAAGGCCTATCATGAATGGGTCTCTCTGTTCGACTAATACGCGGCTACCCTCAACTCCCCTCACTCAACACTTCCTCCCCCCGATCTCTCACTGCTGCCCGACATGCTCCGCCTACCCCGACCCTTGACCGTAGCGTTGCCCCTCCCCTCTTCTCTTTAAATGCCTCGAACAAGAAGCATTTAACTTTTAAGAAACGCGTTTGCTGGAGATCTCTTCAGGGCAAGTGCGATTGGGAGAATGAAGAAAAGAACTGTAACTATTCTCACCCTAAGATCTTTCATAAATTTGCAGCATTTGGAAGCAAAAACCAACGCGGATGCAAAAACGGGAGAGACTGTCATTAATACCATCCGTTCCTATGCTGGAATACTTTTAAAAATGTAGCTTGCAAACGTGATTCCTGTGACTCAACCAGCAGTTAAGTGGTAATGCCGAAGAGAGACGTGACCCTGATAGTTCCTCCTCGGAACACAGGATAGATTATACTGCCAAACCCAAAACATCAGAAAAAAATTACATGGTTAAAAAAACAGTTCTGTGAAGGGCGAATCTATCGAAATCAAAGGTACAGAGCAGTTCCAAAAATTTCCGCACCGGCCAACATAACCTGCCGGAGTGAAGAAGAACAAACAGGACTCGATATCAAGCGCAGACATTTTTTAGGCCGACAGAAGCAAGTAGATCAGATTCAACAACAAATGCAGCAGCTGTTGACATTGCACGAACAACAGCAGAAATCACAGCAACAGCTGCGGAGCCAGAGACCCCTGGCAGTGCGGTGTTACAGCAACTGTAAGGACGTAAGGAAGGGAAGAGTCTAGCATCATGATAGCTAATATAGAGGGGCTCTTCCCAAGAAGAAAACGCCACAAGATCGACGTATTTAAAGAAATTGCTGAGACAGAAGGAATAATCATGCTTGCCTTAACCGAGTCGCACCTAGGAGAAGATTTCCAAGATGGAGAAATCGAGATGAAAGGCTTTCAACATTACCGAGCAGATCAAAAAGGAGGCGTTATAGTCTACCTCAGAAACTTCCTCGCGGCAAAAACAGTTCTGCATTTAGGCTCCAATGAATATGTGGAACATGTTATACTATACATTCCCCATTTCCATCTGTGCATAGCTATCGTATACCGACCGCCTGACTGCCCGCCTGAAAAATTCAATGAACCTCTCGATAGAATAGAAACAATGGTTGCCAACTTAGGTGAACCTTCCCCAAATATTGTGGTTGCGGGAGATTTTAACCTGCCACACATACGATGGCCAAACTTGGACTGTGCAGAACGGCGCAGAAATCAAACCAGAAACCAGGCAACACAACTACTTCGATTCGCTAGGGAGCACTTTCTAAGCCAACAGGTTCTGGTGCCAACAAGAGAACATAATATCCTGGATTTATTCTTCACCAGCAATGAAGAACTGGTTGCTGATATTCGTGTTGAGGAGACCACGCTGTCTGACCATCGACTAGTGGTGGTCAAGACAACAATTGAGAGGGGAACCCAGCCAAGACCTTTACCTCGAGAGGGGCTAGCTGGGCTAAATTTTCATCATCGAAGAACAGACTGGGAGGCCATTTGGAATGAACTCCTTGAAATTGACTGGAGATCTGAGTTCCTGGAACTGAATGCCGAAACAATGTACAACAAACTGTACGAAATATTACTGCAGATATGCGTGCATCACACGCCGGGAAAAACGACCCCCAACGGCCACATAATTCCGAGGGACAGACGGATCCTCATGAGAAAACGAGCGAGCTTGAACAACCAGATAACGGCCGCATCCAGGAATATAGAGAGGCGGAGGCTGGAACATCTAAAGGTTAAAATTAAGGAAACTGAGCGACAGTTACAGGACTCACACGAGGCCGAGCAACAAATTGCAGAGGCGCAAGCGGTGTCTGCCATTCGAGAGAATCCCAAATATTCCTACAAATATGCCCGGTCAAAGGCCAAAATCAGTGCCTCAGTGGGGCCTCTGAAAAATAACGATGTCCATGTTGGAAACGACCAGGGCATGTGCGAACTTCTGGGAGCTCAATTTGAAAAAGTATTCAGCGAACCCCGATACTCAAGACAGGAGAACGAAATTGGGGTCATTCAAGAACTTCCAGGGGAGCGGGAGCTGATGAACATTGAGTTTGAAACACCGGATCTAGAGAGGAGTATCCAAGAATTATCTACGTACTCGGCTCCCGGGCCAGATGGGGTCCCTGCAGTATTACTGAAAAAATGTGTCGGTGCACTAAAGGTCCCACGGACTTTGCTCTGGAAAGCATCATTGAGGGAAGGAAATGTTCCAAGTGACCTAAAATTAGGGCTAATTACCCCTATCTACAAAGGAGGTGCAAGAGACAAACCCCAAAATAACAGGCCGGTTACATTAACATCACACGTAATCAAAGTATTTGAGATGGTTGTTGCCAGAAGGTTGGTGCAGTACATGGAAGACGCTGACCTTTTCAACAGAAGGCAACACGGTTTTAGACGAAATCGTTCCTGTTTGTCTCAGTTACTGGAGCATCACCACCAAATCCTGGCCATGCTGGAGGAGGGGGCCGTGGTGGACGTGGTGTACTTGGACTTCGCGAAAGCGTTTAACAAAGTTGACCATGGAGTGCTCTTCAGAAAATTAAGACTGCTGGGGGTCGGAGGTGAATTGCTGGCATGGATCCACAGCTTCCTAACAGAAAGACTGCAATCTGTCGTTGTAGGAGGCTCGAGATCGAGCGAGGCTATAGGGTGAAGAGTGGAGTACCACAGGGAACGGTACTCGGCCCAATCCTCTTCCTCATTCACATCGCCGACATAGATGTGGCTGTGAACCACGCCACTGCATCGTCATTCGCGGACGACACCAGGATACTAATGACCATAACGGACAGGACGGACTGCGAGAGGTTCAACGAACAAGTGAAGAACATGCAGTTCAACGGGACCAAGTTTGAGGTTCCGAGATACAGAGGTAGCGGAAGAGCTGGTATGGAGCACCGCTACCTAGCACCTGACAACTCGGAAATCAAAGAGAAACAACTTGTTCGTGATCTAGGAGTGTTGATGAATACTCAGGTAAATTTTGTTGATCACGTAACGGCAATAACCGCAAGAGGTAGGCGACAGATGGGGTGAATCTGACGGACGTTCAGAACAAGAGAATCGGAACCGATGATCACACTCTTTAGAGCCCTTGTAATACCAATTCTCGAATACTGCTGCCAGCTTTGGACCCCGTTCACACTCGGCGCAGTGCGGCAACTGGAAGGTGTCCAGCGAACCTTCACTTCCAGGATCAGAGGGATGGAAGAGTTGAACTACTGGGAGAGGTTGAGGCGCCTGGGTCTGTACTCACTGCAGAGGAGACGGGAGAGGTATGTCATTCTGTACTCATGGAAAATGAAAACCGGAATGGCGCCAAACTTCGAGAGCGAGACCTTCAGGATTGAGACATATCACAACGAGAGAAGGGGGAGACTGTGCAAGATCCTCCCATTACGTAACAGATCCGCAGTCAGATTTCAATCCCTACGGGAAGGATCACTTTCCGTGGCAGAGCCAAGGCTGTTCAACGTCCTACCAAAGGATCTAAGAGAGGGGGAGTTCACCCTGGAGACCTTCAAGAGACAACTGGACGTTCTCCTGGGCACAATCCCAGATCGACCTCCCCTGCAACACTACCAGCGGCGAGAAGCAAGCAACAGCATCGTACATCAGGTGGCCGAAATGAGGGCGGATGAACGATAATCAGAGGCGGCGATCCATCGTGGCCTGGGACTGCTATGTCCCAAACAAGTACCAAGATTACCAAGTACCAAGATAGGACTAAGAATAGGGAACAAGGGACAGAGCCTATATGAATCTATTAGCTCCATCGACATTCATTCGAAAAATAGGCTAAGCTTAATATTCTTTCCGGTTAAAGTTTGAACCCTCCAACTGATAGTTAGTTCAACTTCATTTACACTAGCAGTTTCTAGTAAACAATTTTTATTTATACCTTTGTGGTGACGAAAATATCCTTCCTGTCTCCCCCCCAGCGGCGAATGCCCTCGCCCACAGCCTCCTCGTTCTGGTAGGCGTAGGCCGCGTCGACGAGCTTGTAACCGCTGGAGAGGGCAACCGCCACGGCGCCCGACAAGGTATCCGCGTGCCCCTACAGAGCGAGCGTTACTGTGACAATACGGCTGTTACCGTGACAGTGATGTATCACGCTACATGGCGGCTACCGTGACAGTGATGAGTCACGCTACATAGCGGCTACCGTGACAGTTATGAGTCACGCTACGCCATGGCGGCTACCGTGACGGTCATGAGTCCGCACGCAACGTGAAGAAGTCAGGGGCCCGAGGTTGTAAAAAAATACAGTGGGGAAAATAAGTATTTAGTCAGTCACAAATTGTGCAAGTTCTCCTTCTTAAAATGATGAGAGAGGCCTGCAATTGACATCATAGGTAGACCTTAACTATGAGAGACAAAATGTGAAAAAAATTTAGAAAATCATTTGTCAGACTTTTAAAGATGTTATTTGCTATGATGATGGAAAATAAGTATTTGGTCACCTACAAACAATCAAGATTTCTGGCTGCCACAGACCTGTAAGTTCTTTGTTCAAAAAACTTCACTATTCCCCATTCATTACCTGTATTAATGGAACCTGTTTGAAGTCGTTAACAGTATAAAAGACACCTGCCCACAACCTCAAACAGTCACACTCCAAACTCCATTATGGTGAAGACGAAAGAGCTGTCGGAGGGAATCAGAAACCGAATTGTAGACCTGTAATATATTGCTAGGGTACATTTGGTCTAATATAGCAGCTCACCAATAAAGGCAGTGTAAGTTGACTCAAAGCACAGCAGAAGAGTGGCTGATCCATAGGTCAATAGGTCAACTAAGCCTAGAAATGGGTTGCTCACGGTACGACCTTCTCTTAAGTCTTAACGACTGACCTAACGCACGGTATAGTCTCTCGTAAGAACGATTTTCTTTTGGTGTCTTCTAATTTGTAACTAACAACCTTACAATATTCCAGAAGAGTATTACAAGATGAGTTGCATTCAAAGAACATCATACCAACTGTGAAGCATCGGGGTGGCAACATCATGCTTTTGGGCTGTTTTTCTGCAAAGGGACCAGGACGGCTGGTCCGTGTAGATGAAAGAATGGATGGTGCCATGTAACGTGAGATTTTGGGTGCAAACCTCCTTCCATCAGCAAGGGCAATGGAAATGAAACGTGGCTGGGTCTTTCAGCATGAAAATTATCCCAAGCACACTGCCAGGGCAACAACGGAGTGGCCTCGCAAGAAACATTTCTAAGTTCTGAAGTGACCTAGCCAGTCTCCCGATCTCAACAGTCAACCCCATCGAAACCTTTGGAGGGAGTTGATAGTCCGTATTGCCCGCTGACAGCCCCAAAACATCACTGTTCTAGAGAAGATCTGCATGGAGGAATGGGCCAACTGGCCAGCAACAGTGCGTACCAACCTTGTAAACCCTTACAGAAAACGTTGACCTCTGTCATTACCGACATAGGATATACAACAAAGTATTGAGATGAACGTTTGTTATTCACCAAATACCTATTTTCCACCATCATTGCAAATAACATCTTTAAAAGTGCGACATGATTTTCTAATTTTTTTCACATTTGTCTTTCATATTTGAAGTCTACCTAAGGTGTCAATTGCAGGCCTCTCTTATTACTTTAAGTGGGAGAACTTGCACAATTGGTGACTGACTATTGACTAAATACTTATTTTCATCACTGTAGATCGTTTGGATGTATTTGATATCGAATTTGGTAACATGATTGAAATGGAATCTCTATTAACTGAGATTTAGACATATCTATTACGTTATCGTGGCATATTCTCTCTAACTTGAGATAATCTCAATTGAATTGTACGCTCATCGTCACTTGGCAGACCCTCAAGACCTGAATTTGATCAACATTTGCTCTGGAGGAACCTCGCTAGACTTGAGTTCTCATTTTACTGCCGAGTTCTCCGTTTGCCACGACACTGACGATGGCTCCATATTTGCTTTGAGAAACAACCGGAATTTTAATTTGCCGTTGTATCAACAGAAGAGTAATTATGTTATTGAACAAAGATAATTTTAATATAACGCAGCATCAACACGAAATTTATTTTATTACGTAAAACAAACGCCAAATTCAGGACTTATCCAAGCAAGAACGTATTCATTAAATTCGTATATTTGTCTAGCTCTGTAATGAGAAGATCTTGCGAGTCTCACCCTGGACGTGCCGCAGCCCAGCAGCGGCATGAGGTGGCCATCGTTGAGCCGTACGTGCGTTTCGTCAATGATGGACCCAGCCATTATCCTTGCTTTATTTCAGCCCTGATGTAGGAATTTATTCTGTACGCGAATAATCGAAATCTTAAAAATTTCTATTAAATATCGGCCGTCAGTCAGTTCTTGGTAAAGAATATATGTCGGCCAGTAACCTATATTAACCACACCATATTAACCTATAAGCCATACGACCATATTAACCTATCATTTCAACTATTTTGTGACGAAATACCTCAATTAACTCTGATACTGGCGTATATCTGACAGAATAAGCGTCGCACCTGAAGACTGGGCTTAAAAAGGACTTATCTATAGACTTATTGCGAGCTGTTGAAAAGTCTTCAAATAAAGAGCAGATGGAGCGAGTCGATAACTGAAACTATTCCACAAGAAAGTTCGCAATTTGTTGCGAACATATGAAGCTTCTCGTGAAAGCATTAATTATATCAGGACCTGCAATGTTGAATCTTGCGTTGCTATTGGATCGGTAACCTACGGTAGTGTGGCCAGATGAAGCCAAATGAAAATAACCTCAGCCTCAGGATAGAGAATAACCAAGCTACATAATCAAATCAACGTATCACACGGATTAAAAATTATTTCAGCCATGTCGAGTGCAAATTTCTTTCATTGCTCGCTGAAGAGAAATTTGCAGTGTACAATCAATGCATTTTGGTCGCTGAGGTCATCCTGGGGAGCGCGAAATCCCCAAGGAACCCTGACAGGGTTAATACCCTTCAGGATCGCCCCTTGAGGAGAGTGCAAGGAGTGTCAATGATAGAAAATACGGCGAACGGTGAAATAAGTTTGTTGAATACGGTGAAATACAAGAAAATACGGTGTTTGTTAAAAATTTTATTTACTTCGAAAACATGAAAGGTTTCAATTCAGTTACTTTTTAAGCTTAGCTACGTTTTTTAACTGAATTTTGTTTTACTCAACAAAATTCAGTTTGAGAAGAAGGATGCGTTATCACTACGGAATTTCCCGAAACAATTGAACTTGTTCCGAGAAATCGATTTCACGTCGGTGTAGACGTGATACCAGGAACGCGTGTTCAACATAAGCAAGTGAGGCACTCTCGACTGTTTTAAATATAAAATAAGGCAGTAAACCAATTTACTCTTCACATAACGTATTTGTTTTTATACGCAAACAACAATGAAAAACATGATCCATCAAAACAAAACGAAGTATAATTATTATGATATACCACAACACACCCGTACCACCCGTACCAACAGGACAGCAGCGCCTGTTCCAATTTTAGAGCAAACAAAAATTGAGCTTGCAATGACACGTTGATCATGGTTGTGCGGACGTGGGTAAAGGTTAATAATTTTATCCAAATTTGGATTGTTGAATAAAATTTGTATTATTTTTAACGTGTCATTTGTATCATTTTTAACATGTCATTCCAAATAAAAGTAAGTGCACAATTAAGCAGTTTATCAGCGCAAACAATTATTAGAAGTTGTTCCATCGAAATGAAACACTATCAGCTCATTCAAATGTTGATATGATTCAAGAAGATAAATGGATAGCAACGTCGCATAAAAATGGAGATGGTTTCACTGATATTGTCGGTCTTTCATGATTGCTTCATGTCAGCGGTGCACGCAAAGTTATTAACATAAGCATCAGTGAAGTCTCGCAGCTATACGAGGCATTCTCTTACCAACTGTACAAGCTTTGCATACTTTTATAAAAACGCAACGCGAACACTACTTCGTGAATAATGAATTGTCCGAAAACGATCCGTCATCGAGTATTAGTATAGTATAGTATAGTATCTTCGGCATTAAATAAATAGGCCTGGATAGGCCTGTCGCCGATTCTTGTACTTTTCTTGCCTAGACTGGCATTACGGACGGTAGATTTAAAATCGCTTCTAAATATCAGTTGTTCCGTATGGTACGAGGCATTTTAAGACTAAACATATGCTCTTGCATGGCCTTGTCTAGTCTGTTCTTGAACGCGTTCATACTCGGAGCGTCAACAATATCTTCAGGGAGGCTGTTCCACATTATCGTTTATAAAAGCGACGAACAAAACAGGTCCAAGAACGCTTCCTTGCGGTACGCCACTTCGCACAGTTACCCAGTCTGATACGGTTCCGTTAATGCTGACACGTTGTCTTCTGCCTACTAGGAAATTCCTGATCCATTGGAGTACATTTCCCTCGAAGTATTCGAAGCAGATATATTAGAAGGTCATGGAGAATTACTTATACTGCATTCTGACGACTCGCTAATTTACAAAAATCTACACATATGTAAGATTCGACGTCTGGTAACATAGCATTTATGTTCAATTAGTTCTTATAAAAAATTTTTTTGGGGCTTCAGTTCGGAATTGTCAGATTTTTACCACGGGCCAGAAAACACACGCACCCGCATCACCAAGTCTGGAAATTTACAAAAAAGGTCCAATGACACATGCACCCACAAGAAAGGCTTCATCCAAAACAATAATTATTATTGAAAACCACTGCAGAAAAACAACATACCCAATTGTAGGAATTAAGTTGGGGCTCGAGATGGCGCCGCTTATTGATAGCTTCGTGTGTTTTAACGCATTTACTCTCATGGTGAGTCAGATGCATAGAAACTTACATGAACGTGAAACAGGTTAAACGTTTTTGTGATTGCATAAACGCGGCCGACCTTAACACTTTGGCGTTCTCTGAGCTAATTACATGGAATGAAAAGTATATGGCAAGGAAAATCCCGCTGGCCCCTAAAGCTGAAGATATTTGATATACATTGTACAAGGCCTCGCAAATGTGTGTTAACCTTCACAATGCTCCGAAATAAATTTATGCATACATTTTGCACGAAGAGATGTCCGTTCGCGTGCAGGTTTATGGTTCGTTTGCAGCAAATGATAGACAATAAAATACTAACCAACAAATCATCGAAGTAAAAGGTACATTAAGTACGCATAACAGAAGACAACACAGTTCCCATACTGGAATAAAAAAGATATAAAAGATCGCCGCAGACTAGCCAGCCGCTACCAAGCGACGCCAGCATCACAGCACAGGTCGGTTGACGGGGCACTCGGGGTGCAGCTCAAACCTGCAACAGATACTTACGCTCAATCCTTGAGACGGTTCTTTCATTGTTAAATAAAATCAAGTAAGAATTTTAAATATAGTTAAGAAAGTAAGAAAGTTAAGTAGTAATATATAGTTTTAATTATAAATAATAGATGTACTTAAGCAAGTATATTTTTTACCACTTTATAGTCAAGTAAGAAATATCTCAACACGTTACGTTTGCAGGAAGCAATTGAGAAGATTCAAAGAAGAATATTTAATAACATTTACAATTTCAAAATTTTCAGATATTGGTGATATATATTCCTAATTCTGAAATAAAACTTCTGAACAATATCGTTCAACATATGGTGAATAGACACTTTAAATAAGAGGACATATGACACGTTAAGTAACGAGCAAATATTGAAATCGAATTTATTATGGCATGAAAATTAATGGAGCAAGTAGCCATTCAAGTCATGACGTCCCAAGCTGTTAACATTTCCTTCGTTCGCCGCAACCAAACCTCGACGAGCTCCAGTTCAAGCATAAGACGTGATGGATGAATGAATTCGGGTGGAAAATAAAAACAGGATCAGTCAGATGACAACTAATTAGTTGTTAGTGTTGAGATAACAGCAAGCCTCTCACCCTCTGTTGAGATAACAGCAAGTTAGTTAGTTAGTTTAGTGGCCAAATGTTTACTAGCGCTTCAGCTATTTAGCTATCTCGCACCGAAAGTCAAGATGAACATCACCATAGAGGCTGTCTCTTATACACATCTAGATGTGTATAAGAGACAGGANACAAGATAATAAGCCTCTCACCCTCTGTTGAGATAACAAGATAACAACAGGCCTCTCACCCTCTGTTGAGATAACAAGATAATAAGCCTCTCACCCTCTGTTGAGATAACAAGATAATAAGCCTCTCACCCTCTGTTGAGATAACAAGATAACAAGCCTCTCACCCTCTGTTCTTGAGGAAGTTGAAGGAGCGAGCTTCCTCCCCGCGGTCCAGGGTTCGCAGCGCCGCCATCGCCTCCTCTGAGAGACTCCAGTCCAGCACCTGGCAGCGAGGAACACTTTCTTATTCTAATACATAATATAAAGGCCTTAAACGCGGGAATGATTTAAGGAAAGCAAATTAGATTGGATAATTTTAGAAGTTACCATTTGATTTGAACGAGAATTCGAGCAAAATCCTCTGTTATGCTATGAGATGTAAGGTAATGACATACATTGAGGTGTAGTGCAGACTTGACCAATACATTGTATTCGTAGAGAAGCAATATATTGGGTTCGCGAGAATGCGTGTCTGAAGAAAGTTCAATGTATAACATTTAACTCATTACTCACTGCAGTGAGTGACAGAGAGCGCATTTTCTCGTCGATGAAAACATGAAGTCACGGACAGACGGACAGACTGACGGACATGACGAGCACAATAGGGCATTTTTCCATAAATGAGAAAGTGCGCTAAAAACAACAGTACGAAAGTAAACCAAACCCGCTGATGATCAAATTGTCTGAATCAATAATTTTCTGGAAACTTTCTGCATGCGAGTTCATTGTAGGATATGACAATTGGATGCTATAGGCTAGGCAGTGACAGAGCATACATTACTGACGGAGATTACAATGGGTCAGAGCTGATCTGAAATAAAATTTAATTCCCTAGACGATGATAAAAAAACGTAAGTAACATTTTGAGGTCAAAATTTAAATTTTTAATGCAATAGTTCACTTATAATTTGGTAAATTGTAAACGTAAGAAAATATTAGACACAACTCAACAGCGCACTTCGGAGTTTTTTCCAATAGCGCACCTGGGAATTTTCTTGGATCCTGGCTCTGCGTCCTGGTGAGCCGAGCGTGCCGTAGCTGGTGAGGACGAGGCCTGTCTCGCGGCTGTAGGCCTGCATCTCCGTCTGCTGGAACTCCACGTGCATCTCCAGCTGCACCAGACCGTCTCATGTTAGGCACACATTACAGAATTATAAGAGTTGCTGTTCATAATGCAAGACTTGTTAAAATACCACAACTTTATCAGTCTGCCTATATGATGTTACAACTACGAACAATCCAAAATCTCCTCACAGCTATAAGACTGCTAGTTGATTGGAACAGAGTTGCCAGTTTACAAGCACTCTAAAGGCCCGTTCACACTAGGGGCAACACACAGGCATCAAGCGCCTCTCCGCACCTCTGTGAGGCGTCTACGTGCGCTTAGTGAGCAACGAAGCGATTGACGAGCTACGGATTCACAATCGCCCTGCCTCATGCTGCTACATAAGCGCTGCTCGCAGTCGGCACTCGGCAGTATTCTGTCAGTAAACGTCTGTCTGTGGTGAGGTCTAGTGAGGTTGTGTACGCTGGTCCTTCACTATGGCAACTAACGCCACACTTGTTTGGACTCACTCTCTAGTAGAGAGGGTAATTGATCTTTGTAGAGATCATGAATGCATGTAGAGAGTTCAGTCAAAGGAGTATAAAAGTCGAAATGCGAAAGAACAAGCTTTGGTGAAAATAGTTGAAGTTTTAAAAAACTTTTGCGTACAAGTCACCATTGACTAGGTTCGCAAGAAAATTCATACGTTGCGTTCGCAATTCCATCGTGAAATGAATTTCATTGCGAATGAATTCCATTGCATGTGAATTCCATCTCAATTCCGTCATCCTGCTTTTGGATGAGTGGCATTATTCTCTTTAGCAGACTGTCAAACTAGTCTACTGGCAGTCTAGTATAATTTTGAAGGCTGATGCATTCGCAACTGATAATTCTTTGAAAGTGTAATTGTATAAATCGCGTTTGTGTAAATCTTAACAGCAGCACACCCGAGAACAATGGCCCAGAGCTCAAATTCAGTTATATCCATCTCCACTGACGTCTTATCAACTGGCAACTAATCTTCAAAGCGCGCGGTTTCGAGCTCCCGCGTACAAAAATAAGTGTGAACGGTTGTGGGCGGTGAGGCGCTGCAGCAAGCCGTCGTTGCCCCTATAGTAAACGGGCCTTAATAGTTTGGCATATGCGAAGGCTTTAAAGCTTTCACCTTAACATCACAGCAATAATGGGTTGCTAGTAGCGCTGGTACCTGCGTTGTCAGTATACCACTACTCTACCATGCTATATATGCTAGGGTCTTAAGCTACGCCACCCCAACATCCCATCACAGTAATAGGATGACTAGAGGACGGTAGCGCTGATACACGAGTGGCCGCCACACAAAGAATCAAGATCCGAGCTACTTTAGGAACCAGCAAAGTGGCGTATAATAGCACAAACACGCACCCGGTTCACCGCCGGTCCCCAGCATGTACCCGGTTCACCGCAGGTTCCCACTATACGCACCTGGTTCACGGCAGGCGGCACCTTGGCCACAGCGAAGAGGCGCCGCAGTTGCGCGGTGCTGAAGTTCGACACGCCGATGCTCCGGGCGAGCCCCGCCTCGCGTACAGCCTCCATCTCCTGCTCTCACCATGAATGAAGTCAGGTCAGTCGAGGTATTTTCTGATATGCTGGGAATTAGACAAGTTGTAATTTGATGACAATCATACATTGCATATATTAATTTAGCATGTATTCATATGTATGAATATTTAAGTTAGGAATTTATTAATAATAGACCAAATACAAGGGCTAGTCAAAATAAGGGAAACACATGAGAAATCTACAAAATATATTTTATTATGCTGTAGGTCCACTTTTTGCTGCAATTACGGCCTCAATTCTCCGAAGTATTGATTCATACACAATGCAAATTGTTTCTAAAGGAGTTTTGACCCCTTCTTTACTTAAAACTCTACAGCTCTTTCAAAGACAATGGTGGCGGGAATCGACTTCTGACTTGCATCTCAAACATCGACCATAAATTATCGATAATATTCAGGCCTGGTGATTGTGGTGGCCAAATGAGATAGATGCTCAACTTCATTAGAATGTTCCTCGTGCCATTTTTTTAACAATTCCAGCTGTATGGATCGGGGCATTATCATTTTGAAAGATGGCTTCCCTTTCCGGAAACAGTAATGGCGTCCACTTCCAGTCCCCTTCTCCTTTCAGCCACTAAACGATTTGAAAACCGGTTTGATATATCGCATCTTACCCTCCAGAGCGCGACGTGGTTGGTGCTATAATCCACCATCAGTTTGCCGTCCTTGTCGAAAGGAAATACCGTCTCATCGTCGACGTACTGGCGTGAGAAACCGTACTCATCAAGTCAAACGCAAATAAAATAACCAACTATTACAAATCGAGTCATCTGTTATTTAATATCATGTTTTTCAACGGCACAGGTACAAGAAATGGATGAGCAGCTCGAATGTTAATGTCATACTGAAAAGTAATATAGAGCATCCAGAAATGAGTATATCCAAAGAACCAAATTGAATATCCATGCCGTTCAATTACAATTCGTGGCTGATCAAGTTGGGTAGAAAAAGACGCTGCGCACCTGCAGTCCAACTGGTGCGTGGATCAGGTACAAGTCGACGTAGTCAAGTCCTAATTTTTTTAGTGACTTCCTGAGGAAAGGTTCCACGCGACCACCGCCCAGCGCTATAGTTGGCAGCTGAGGGAACAGATTAATTATTAGTCACGGATCATTGTGAATGTTTCTCATGTTACAGGGTAAAGAAAATGAAATGATAGTTTATTCCAGAATTCTATGGAAAGTAACTATAGCTACCTTTGTGGTTACGAAAATATCCTTCCTGTCTCCTCCCCATCGTCGGATGGCCTCGCCCACGGCCTCCTCGTTCATGTACGAGTAGGCCGTGTCGATGAGCCTGTAGCCGTTATTCAGGGCGAGCACAATTGCTTCAGACATCGGCTTATGCTCGCCCTGTGCAAACACGAATTAGTGATTATGTGCTCCTCATCGGGCGCTGAAGTAGAGATTATATCTGTAGATGCCGAAAATGATTTTTTTGAATGACAGGCCATGAAATAACAATGAAATAACTATTGCATGGCGCTTACATGATAGTTTCGTAATATAGTAGTGTGATAAGTGATTAAATTAAAAATGATTGAATTGTTAAGTAAATAAATTATTGTGATAAAGTATTTAATTGATAGGTGGTAATTAATATAATTGCTAAGTTGTTATTTATTTAATTGACAAGTAGTAATTTTAATTTATATAATTGATAAGTGATTATCCATTTACTTGATAGGTGATAATTTATTTACTTGATAAGTGGTAATTTATTTAATTGATAAGTGATAATTTATTTACTTGATAAGTGGTAATTTATTTAATTGATAACTAATTTAGTGATCTAAAAATTTAGACAATAATGGATAATTGATCTGATTTGTCAAGGATAAGGGATAGTTCATTATTAACTCCACTGATAAATTTTGACTGATTGATAATTTATAATTGTGATATGGTCTCAACTAAATTCATATATTCTATCTAGGATGAATGCCTGGACGATATGATGTGTGTGAAAGAAAGACTGGCACAGCTCAACAGTTCCGTGGAACGGTGCAGCGCTTCAGTTTCTTTCTTCGAAATAAATTCTAACGATCTTGTCGTGCTCTATCGTTGTTTTCCTGTCCTCGCCACATTATTTTCATCACATGCTAAGCGCTAAATCATTTAATTAAAACTCACCTGCCAGCAACCTATCCCCAGGAGGGGCATGAGGTGCCCATCGTTTAGCTTCACGTGGGTTCCGTTCACGATTGTTCTTGCCATGGCACGCTGACTGAAAGATCACAATTAGAATTACAATTATGAACAGTGAAGAATGTGGGTTTTCCAATTATTCTTACGAAAATACAATTTTAGAACAATTTGATGTCCTTGATGGGACACTTGGAGAGAATTGAATGGATGCATAGTCTTCGTTATTCTAGTGGTATAGTGTTGTGATTAACTAAATAAAGATGCGCTGCGTTGAAATGTCTGTAATTTCCCCAGAAGTTTTTAGAACTGTACGAGTCGTCGACAGGTTAGAAGGAAATAGTTTTATTTACAAATGATTCTTCATCCCAAAATTTATAAAACGTACCTATACTGCGCTCCGTTCATTGTCAACTTACCGTGAGATATGGAACGAGTTATTTTAGCAATGGAATAAAATTGTTAGTTTTTGCGGTAATTAACTAACACCAGTACATTTTTGGCATCTGAAACTACGGAATTTGTGTCGCCGTGTTCTCATTATAAATGAAAATTTAATTTCGGTAATACATCAACATGGGCGTAACATTGTTTCATTCTGCAAGATATATGATTCAATGCTAACAATCGCAAAATATGGGAAATAAATTTATTTAGAGCGAACGCCGAAATTGTTATGAGCTTAAAAAACTATCTTCGGGTTATTCGATCCCGCTACGCGAAAGTTCTTCTTTTCATCCAATGAAATAAATTGGTAACTGCAAATGGATGGTGGTGACTGAGATAAATCAAGATGAAGACTTTACAACGTCGTCACAGACGAATTTTAGCAACCTCAGTCCATGTTTGCATCAACTTATATCAGAGAGAAAGTAATTTTATTTGTATTTTATTGTCGCAAATTCATCGTGGCATCTCTTTGTGACACTATTAACGATTAACGTTGAAGATATACTTATTACTTATCATTTTACATGAATATGTCCAACTACTGAGCTTGTTGCTCTAGAAGAAAGTAACGTAAAAGCATTATTACATAAGTCTCAGTAAATTGTAAATGCGTTATCAACTTGGACTTCTGTTTGGATTCCGCTTTCACATGCCAATAAAAACCGAATGAAGTTCGATAAGAAAAATCCATTTATGTCGTGCCTTTGTTGATGGAAAACTCTTAGGTTGTTCATTCTGTATTCTATTATATAATTATCGTTTTCAAAACAGATCTATATACTGGTAGTCACCCCATTTGGACATAAGTCCAGAAAATTCTTCCAAATTGAAAGGCATCTATAAAATGTAAGATTTATAAAGAAGACGCAAAATCCAGTGTTTTCAAGACAAATGTACTAACTTTATTTAAACGTAACTCATATTCATGTAGAACTTGTCATATCTCTTCTACATATCTAATTGTAAGAGATAAGAAAAGGTCGCTTCTTACTATATCTATTATATAAGGTCAATAACTAATTTTATGAGGTCGCGCAATTTTGACGCAAATCAATCGCTGTAAAAAAAAGTTTTTCCAAACATCATCACATAATATTTGAGCACAATCAACGAACAGATACACAAACATAACAAATTATTTCGTTTCAACACGACGAAATTAAGCATTTGGGTTCAAAATTCGAAAGCAATATTTCCTGCCGTATTTGCAATTAAATTAGAATGATCTACAAAAAGAAACTGCTTTGAACGTTTATGGATTTAAACTCGCTATTCATTAACAAAACAACTATATATATAGTTAATGAGGCAACTATATATAACTGGCGCATGAAGTCATTAATTGCACACGGTTCTCGTTTTAATGATTTCATTCATAGTAAAAATGTCATGCTAGAGACGTCTTATAACAATTAAAAATTTGGTTTCTAAAGAAGAAGCAATCTATAAGCAATTATTCAATGATAAACCAGTTGGATTGATAGATTCAGGCCGATCGGCTCTTCCATGTTTATACATAACAACAAACGTTCAATTAACGTTGTCCAATGTAGAGGATGATGTTGGCTACAACGTAATAAATCTGAAGGGGGAATGAGGGCTTTCGATAATCAATTTATCAAATTGAGTTCGAGTTTAAAACGACCAGCAATTCAAATTTAAATTCCTTCATTTGGAGCTCAGCGATGACAAACTTAAAGCCTGGTTAAAGTTCGCTCAAGGCAACAAGCATTCGAGTTCTTGCATGTTTATTGGGCTGCATGCATTCTCCCATATATACAGTATAGTCAACCCAGTCTAGAAATGTTCCAATCCTTATCAATGACGAATGAACATTATTGTCAAAATACTTTTTTCAGGCCACTGAAATACAAAAGTAACTGGCATGAAGTAATTTGTACTGACAAGATCTAATTTGGCGTACATCGCTTATACTGCGTCCTCATGCACTATTATCGCCCATCACCATCTCCTAATTAAGTATATATAAAGACTTAGACTTAGGAGGTTATAATGCAATACCGGTCTTGAGCTTGATGACACATTTGATGGCTTAGCACACTTAATAATGATGAAAAATAACTTTAACTACGACGATATGACTGCAGTACAAGCTCATTAAAAGTACATTTATTTAAAACAACTATGATGCCGAGAGAACATCAGTCTAAAAAATAGTATGCAGTGTAGCACAATATTTCGATCACCACGGAGCTTGTTCAAATCGACGGCAAAAGCTACATTAGCTAAATATATGCACCTTTGAATGGAAGTTGTTATCGTTATTGTCTAGCACATGTTTTATGTTACAGGACAGCAAGGGCACAAAATGCTTATAGACATTGTAAATGCAAATGTGTAAGTCTAATAGACGAAAGATACGAGTGTGGATTTTAGATAAGCATGAGTTGAGGGACAGCTGCAGCTGATTTAATAATTAAAACCTAAACAGATTCCCACCAACATAGCAACTCAACCCACCCAGCTCGCTATAAGCCCAGTTATATTCCATACCAACATTTCCTCACATTATTAGCATGTGATGTCTCATGCAGAAAATCCTACAGCTTTTTCTTTCCTGACGCACAAACCATAATTATTACTACTTTTGTGTGAAGTAAGTTCATTGGACTCAATTAAAAAATTGGTTGAGAGTTCTCTCGTAGTAAATCATACATCCCTGCAATCCATAACAGCCAAATTCATGCTGCAGATCGCTTGGCAGCGCATTGAAGCTATAGAGTGTAATTACTTTAAGGATTACAACAGCTAACTGCTTTTAATTTCGTACGACAGGTTCTACAACGCAGTGTGACCTGTTGTAATAACCAGATATTTTCCGAGGTCGTATTTCATTAATTGAACTGGATGTATTCACGAATTTTTGATCGTTTTCATTCTCACCCTGATTTATTGTTTGATTTTAAATTTGATCACAATGTCCTTGGCAACGATACAATTGGATTATTAATCATAATTATTTATCTTCTCGAGTATAAACTTGTGGTGAACGTTTGTAATAACATCCACTTTTGTGCGGAAACATAGACCCTTCCAGTAAAAAATAATCTTGATACAGATGAATGACTTCAAACGAATGAGTTTATTCCCGGAAGAACGTACTACAACTCAATTCTCTACAACGCAATGTAACTCAATGTAAACGACTACAATTCTCTACTACAACTCAATGTATTCAAGTGAACCACATATCTCTGGGAGCTGCTCGTTCATTTATACATGCAGTTGCGTGCACTGCACGTAATCGTAACGAATTCGCTTCCGGTACAACTATAATAATATGCATGGATGAGCAAACTTGCTATTATCTATAAAAAATACATTTGTTGTTAATGTCAAACAATGGCAACTTTAATGAACTAATTTGAAGGACAGATGCATAGTATATACATTCATTCAAGCAACACTGCAATTAACGACTGGCGCACAAGTGAAGTGAGTTTGATTAGATTACCGATTAGGCGTTCGGAGGTCGAGCAAACTTCATCAACAAGTGTGCATGTTCTAAGATCAAAGAGTAAACGCCATGTTCAGTGCAGGGAATCTCTGTCTGTGTGCTTGGTTCAGAGAAAATAAAATACAAGTTGCGTTTTCAAGAAATCGTTCAGGGACCGATCCTAATAATAAGAGATGGAATGAACAAATGAAATGAGCAGAGCATATCTTATCCAACGGTTATGGAGAAAAAGAAAGATATTGTCTACAAATATAAAAATTAGAGCAAAAAATATATACATAACAAAAGAACGTTTTTATTTGAATAAAGAGAATAGGCGACAGACGAAGAAAACTTGTATATCTGGTGCCATAATTCCAGTTCCAGCTTCCAATGAACCAGTTCCAGCTTCCAGTTGCCGATAAACTGGTTTCAAATTTAGAAACAGGCTGAAAAAACATTTAATTTACAGCAAATCATGACGCTTTGGACTTATTTTGTGAATTAAATGAGCTCAACCATAATACTCGATCATCCATTACGGATTAAGATCGTTGTCTATGGTTTCGATGATCATTTTCGTATTCCTTGCACACAAAATTTGATCAGTTCACCTTTGTATTCATGGACAAGGGATAATTGCGAGAAGATAATGTTAATAATTTCTGCAAGGTTGGTTGCGTGAAATCAAATCAAATCGACACGATATATAGTGAAGCTCCATTCAAACTGCAAAGCAAAGTTACATGTCAACGATTGATTTATCGGTTCAGTGGTCAGCATCTGACTTCATTAGCCAGATGACCAGCAACTCAAATAATCAATCTAATGTTCAGCTTCAAATTTTGATACTTTCATTATAACTACAACAACTATCGATAAAAAGATAAGTTGTACAACAAATCCTTCAACTGGGAGCACATTTTAATTTAATATACACGAAAAGCGATTTTCCTAGAATTTCTTAAATGAAAGATATACATTAATGTTACTCTTTTTTGTACGTTCCATTGACGGTTTGATTTGGCTTGTTGGGCACATTCGCTTCACGTCAGCCCGAAAATGGAGCGGGCGCTATTACAAGTACAAGTAAGATCGTGTGCCTCAACTTCATTATTGAGTAATACTAAACGCTCGTCACGAGAAACTGAACATTTGAACACTTATTAACCTAT